GGCATGCGGTTACGTTTGAACAAGCGCGCTGGGGCGAAAGCGTCCTTCTGACAGCGGGTTCGTCCCGGGTCGGCGGCACCGGCCGGAGGCCTCTACAAGAATGGGCACGCGACTCACAGCCACCTTGGGGCGCGGAAGCCGCAGGAAACTCAAGGCTCAGGTCATGGACTTATTGATCTTCAATCCTTTTACGATCGTATATCGTGGGTTGTACTGGCAGCCGAAGCCTTGTCGCTGGGCTTCCCCCAATCATACTTTTCGTGGGGCTTCAACTCTGCCTCGAACCTCGTGTCCTGGCCCAACACGACTGCTTCGCGGAGGCGTTCCGCGGGCAGTGTGATTCAAAGGTTGCGCAGCGGCATCAGGTTCGTCAGATGCAAGGCGCACTACATCCTCGACGCTGTCACCAAGGGGAGCCCGATGGTCGACATTAGGTTGTGGATCGATGCTTGATCTCAATGTGTAGTTGGCTTTAGGTCTTTTGCCAAGAAATGGCTCCATTAAAGTTATCACTAGCACGAGCAAGGTCTCCAGATCGCCGCCAAGAGACTTGTTCATTGCTTTCATTACTGCGACGCTCGTGAGATCTCGACCCGCCTCCGGAAGAAGGGCCTCGCAGTCCTCTCCGTTTTGCAAGCAAAATACCTGGGATTCGACTCGGGTGCGGGGCGTCAAGCAAGGTGCACGACCAGGAAGGAAGCGGGCTGCGAAGGCGTCGAGCATGCACGCCAAGATCAGACGCTTCGCACACACAGCTTGGCGACATCAACCAGCAGCTCGTCGTGAGAAGGCATGTGCCCTGCCCGCAGCATTCATGGCGTTTTCGGCACGGGCATGTTGGCAATGCGCAGGAGGCTAGGCCACGTAGATAGCTCAACGCGCCGAAGCAGGTGTTTGACATCCGTTCTCGACTTGCGGTGCCCAGGCCATGACCCAGGATATAATTTACCACGATATTGTTTGAAGCTTTGGTTATCGTCATGGGCATCCTCACAGAAAATTCCTGCATGAGCAAGTGCAGTACGGAGCACGATGGTTCAGACATTTCGGAACCTATCGATCCAGGAGCGCACCAGGCACACCAGAGGACCCATGGGCGCGGTGATTTGCTACTTACTTCAATACGACTGGGATCCTGTGGACCCCGCCGAGTGGGGCGCGACGCAGGCTGGTTCTGAGGGCCGTGCAGCCTTCATCTAAGACCAGCTGCAGCCCCATGACGACACCACGCAATTGCTCGACTAGTTCGAGTTGTCGGTTCGGTCCCAGCAAGGGCCGGCGGCTTCCTCGCACTTCGGTGGAGCTGGACTCGAGATAGGGGGCCGGCAATGGTTCATGCAGGAAGCTGCTGCTCGCCCTGGAGAAAGCCGAGCACGGCCACCAGTTGGCGGAGATGATGTTGTACGTGGCAGTCGGGGGCACATGGCCCAGGCACCGGATCCACGACGAAGTCGGGGGCGACTCGACGTCACCTGCCCGCGGTGCAATGAGGCCCCCGAGACTGCCTTCCACCGCACATGGTCATGCAGGTACAACGCAGGCTCGACCGAGCTGGCGCCCCAAGCGCACAGCCGGCATGAGGCCGAGGCTTGCTTTTGGCTGCTCGGCATTTTGCCAGCGGAGTAGGCCCGAGTCGAGGCGCCACCAGCCGAATTTTGTTGGAGAGCTAGTGGCACAGATGGGCCCGCAGGCTGCCCCGAGCAAGGGCCGAAGCAACCGCGGCCACACTGCAACAGGTCGCTCGGAGGCCCGGCCGGCACCTTGCCCAGGAAGGCGAAGCTACAGCCAACGGAGCCACAGCCTACCAGCTCGCCCAACCTCCGCAGCCCTTCGCACAGCCTCTGCAGCCGCAACCATCGGTTGCCCGCAACACCAAGGGAGAAGGGGACTGGGGGTCAGGGCAACCGTCACCGCGCCGCCGCCACGGAAGGCGTGCACCTCCCCCACGCACGGTGGAAATCCCCCAAGCGGCCCCCACCTCCGCGATCTGGTCGCGGGGATGGGGGTCGCTTCAGGGGACTTCTCATGCGCAGAGGGACTTTACCCCTTCCCATTTGGCGCGTGTGGCCGGCCTTCTCAAGGCGAGCGTGGCGCCCTGCCATCGCCGGGAAAACCGAAACCTCCCTCACGCTCGGCGGACCCCCCGCAGGCGGCCCCGCGTGCTGGGAACCCTGCGCCTGCCTGCAGACGAGGGATCCCGCCGCTGGCCTCTGGGACGCCTGCGGGGGATTCCTATGAGCAGAGGGAGAGGCCCTTTTGGGCCTTCCACTGGGCGAGCGTGGCTGGGGCACGCCACCGCCCCCTACCGCCACTGTGCTTGCCACCTCCCCCCGCGCCGCCTCGCATTCACAGCTGCCACGTGTTTGACTGCTTCTCTACTCCCTGTACTGTCAGGCCTACCGCACCTGGCCAAACAGCCGCACCTGTCGCGAACAGAGGGCGATCGCAGCCTACAGTTGTGCGACATCCTACGCTCGGCTACCATCAGCGGGATCAAACCGCCTCAACTCGCAGCTCCAGACAGACCCCCTGGCACGGATGCCAGACTCGCTCGACCACCGCTGACAGCCAAGGCGCTGGCCACGGCAGCCGCGAGCAGCAGACTCAACCTCTCTGCGCCACCTCACTTGGTGGCCAACCGAGGTGGGCACCTCAGAGGAGGGGGGCCCAGGGCACCCTCCAGGGCGCTGGCCCAACAGGGCCAGTAGACCCGAAGGAGGCGGGACCCACAAGGCCCACGGGCCTCCCACCTTTTCCACAATGCAACCGCCACGAGCGTGCGCCATGCTGTCCAGTAGTCCCTACTCGTATCCATCTCCCCTCGTTCATCGTATCAGGCCTGCTTTCTCCCTCCTACCCTCCTCACCTTAGCTGTCTGTCCACACTGCGGCCGCCACGAGCCTGCGCCACGCTGCCCAACATTCCCTACTCGCTCCTCCCTTTCCTCGTTCATCTTCAGGTTTCATGTTCAATGGTCCTCTCTCCTCCTCCCCTCCCCCGCGTCTTGTCCACCTGTCCAGCCTTCACCTGTATCTGCCCCAGGTAAAAATACGTGCGTGCCGGTGGCCCCTGGAACGGTGCTCCAGGGGTCACCTGGCCGTAGTTTGATCAACCCCCTCATGGCCGACTGGCCCTGAGGGGGGGGGAGGCAACGTTCAGGAGAACCTGCATGCCACGAGATTCCGGGTTCCAGGGAGTTCCAGGGAGGAGCACGGCAAGGCTGAGTAGCACTCTCAAGTGTGCACTTGCGGACATCTCTCTTCGGCCCATTGCTAACCGACCCCCTGCCCCAAGAAGCTGTTGCACGGGCGTCCGAGGGGCTTGCGCAGATCTTAATCATGCGCGCTGGCTCTGAGAGCCCACGCTGCCTAATGATCTGTCTGGTCGCCGCCGTCGCCGCTCACTCTTCACTCCTCCCTCCCACCACGCTCCTCCCTCCTCCCTCCCTCCCTCGCTCCTTCCCGTCCGAGGGAAGAGGACAAGAGAGGACGCCGACAATCGTCCCGGAGGAAGGCCCCAGAAAGAGCACGGCGGTGGGGCTGGAACGCTGAAGCACGTTGGCTCCCTGGATGCTGGAAGCGCGATTTGGAGCTTTGCCCATAGATTGTGCTGAAGCAGCTGCAGTTGGACTCCCCAAGAAGAAGAAGAAGAAGAAGAAGAAGAAGAAGAAGAAGAATATACACATACGAAAACAGCGAAAACGGAACAATTCCAAAGAAGATGACGATATCTACACTCCTGAAGAGGCCTGCCAAACACCAACAATGGTAACAACAAAGAAACTATGATTGATGGGGTGACACAGTACTCTGCTGTTAAATCGAATGCCCATCAATGAGGAACGTTGTGCTGACGAAGGAGGATGAGGAGGAAACGGAGGAGGAAGAGGACCAACGTAAACCCAAGACTCGTCAACACAAACTGAGATACACCCACCCTCCAAACTCCCTCTTCATAAACCCCCTAGAAATATTCACTTCCACTGAGAGACAACCGTGTAAAAATCCTGAGGCGTGCCAACAAATCATTCGTATGACAGAACACCATTCCTGGGACTTCGACGCCGCGAATCAACGTGACTGTTGCGCTCGCTCGAACACATAATTTCTGAAAAGTTAACCATCCGAATCCGCCACATTCTTGCACATTGTTACAACGAATGTGCGCAGAGCTCAAGCGAGAACCACATTGTGAAAACCATCCGCCCTCAATATGTGAAACTCCTGCACATGTTTGACACGAAAAGGCGCGGCGCTAAAACGAACACCACATTTTGAAAACCACTCGCCCTCAATCCGTGAACCTCTTGCACTTAATTAAACGAATGTGGGCGGTGCTGAAACGATAACACGTTTTGAAGACCATCCGATCTCAATCCGTGAAACTCTTGCACATTGTTAAACCGAATGCGCGCGGCGCTAAGGCGAGAACCACATTTGAAAACCACCCACACTCAATCCGTGAAGCTCTTACACATGTTTAGAACGCTTGTGCGCGGCGCTGAGGCGATATCCGCATTTTGGAAGCGACCCGCCCTCCATCTGTGAAAGTGTCCCCATCCAAACTTCAGAGTTTCAAAACCGTAAATGGCGAGGAAGTCTCCGGCGAAACACCCGACCTGCCCTTTCGACCAGTCTCGGGGTGCGACAGGAAGGGGTTATTTATAAGGAAGAGGAATCAAGGAGGAGGGAGCAGGAGAACCACGTCTCCATCGTCGTTGTCGCCATCGTCCTCCCTCCACTCTTCTCCCCCTCACTCCCTCCTCACTCATTGCTCCTCCCCCGCGTGGGGCGTTGGAGGAGGAGGAGGAGGAGGAAGAGGAGGAGGACCAGAAGGAGGAGGAGGACGACGACGAAGAAGAAGAAGAAGAAGAAGAAGAAGAAGAAGAAGAAGAAGAAGAGGACCACCTCGTCGCCATCGTCGTCGTCCATGCCACCCGGCCCAGCGGGCCGCCCGGGGCCCCGCCCCGCTCGCGCGCCGCATGCGGGGAGGACGCGCACCTTCTCCAGCATGCGCGCCGAGAGGTCGCAGCCCTCCAGCCACTCGAGCGCCTCGCCCCCGCGCCCGCGGCCGAAGCCGCGCCCACGGCGGCAACACTCCCGACAGCCGGCAGGCAGAGCCGCAACCGGCGGAGACCAGCAGGCCGCACGCGGCCTGCGGCAGGCTCGTGTCGTGAGGGCTGTGGCATTGGTCCCCATCCCCCTCGCGCTCCTCCTCCCACTCCTCCTCTTCCTCCTCCACCTCCTCCTCCTCCACCTCCTCCTCCTCCTCCACCTCCTCCTCCTTCTCCTCCTCCTTCTCCTCCTCCTCCTCCTCCTGCTCCCCATCTTGCTCCCCCTCCTCCCATCCCTCCTCCACCTCCTCCTCCTTCTCGTTATCCTCCTCCTCCTCCTTCTCCTCCTTCTCCTCCTCCTCCTCCTTTCCCTCTTTTCCTCCGTGGCTCGTGTCGTGACGAATTCAGCGCTGGATTCCTGACACCGCGTGGATCGTTCAACCATGGACAATCGGCGGCTTTTCGATCGCCAAATCCTTTCGCAGCGTTGATCGATTCTGGGCCTCCGGCGGAATTTGACATTGAGCGCCCGCGGCGGGGTCACCGCCGCGTCGACACGACGAGAACCTGCCGTAGAAGAGCGCAGCGCAGCAACAGCGACGCGACAACCGACCGAGCCAGACGGACCGAACCGCGGGCACCCCTGGCGGCCCTCCCCCACCCGACCGAGCCGACTGGGCGGACACCTCCTGGTCCCCTCGACGCCAAACTTCTCGAAAGGCTCATCGACGCCATCGCGCTCCAACTCATCAAGGGTGCCTAACTTCGCGCTGCGCGCTGAGCTTCGCGCCCTTCCGCCGCCCCCGAGGGGAGACGAGGAGGACGAGGAACCGCAGCCGATTCGCAAACCTCGAATAACTTCGCGCTCTCGAGGGCGCCCTGCTTCTCCTGCTGCTGCTGCTACTTCTCGTGCCGCTCATGCAGCTCCTCCTGTTGCTCTTTGCCATCGCACGCGGGCGGAATTTGCACGCCCGGAATGGGTACGGAACAAAATCGGGTACAATGCCCAACAACAAATGTTGTCCCAAACCAACAGCGGCCGCTGTTGGGCAGGCGGCCGCCTCAAATAGACACAGGCCGCGGCGGCGTGGACAGCGAGGCCTGTTTAAAATGAACAGGAACTGCTGTTGGGCATTGTACCCATTCTTTCCGTACCCATGCCGGTCGTCCCGGCGGAAGCGTAGCCAAGAGCCAGAGCCCGGCACACGCAGCGAGGGGGGACAGGCCGGTTCTGAGGCCCAGGAAGGCAGCGGGAACCCGAAGACGGCCAAAAACTTCCGGGGCCCGTCTTCTTGCTTTCCTGAGAACTCCGCAGATCTAGAGGTATGGCGGGGCAGTGGGTGACAACTGATAAGGCTTGGGGCGGAATGGTGCTCTGTAGAGGGCAGAAAATCCACCCCCATAATAATCACCCCGACAAGCAAAGCCGTTTAGAAAACGCACCCACGGAAGGAGTCGAACAGAGCAAGACTTTTTGTAAACACCCAGGGCCGTTTAGTAAACGCCAGTTGTCTGGTCCAGATGGTTTTTCCTCCCTTGACTCTGGCCCCAACGCAGGCCACGTTTCTGGATGCGATTCTTTCCTCGCCGTCGCCGTCTTCCTCCTTTCTCCTCCTCCGTCTTCCGCCGGTCCTCTTCCTCCTCCCGCTCCTCGTGCTCCTGCCCCTGCTGTTGTTGCTCCTGCTTCTCCTCCTCCTCCTCCTCCTCCTCCTGCTCCATCTCCTCCTCTGCCTCCTGCTCATCCTCCTGGTCGTCCGCCACCTCCTCCTACTCCTCCTGCGATGTGCACAATTTCCATGTTTGATTGCGCATCTCACGATGGAGTCCTCTCGGGAACACCCATTGGCGGACAGAGAAACATCAAAGCAACGGGAAGGGACGGGTGGAGGGGGTGATGCAAGATATGGCGTGAGCGCATCTGCTTCGTCAGGCCTGAGCCTGATCGAGTCGCGAAAAGGGATCGGATCCGAAACGGATCGGACCGCCAACGATTCGCCGAATCGAATCGGAATCGGATTGCCGTACACAGCTCCCACTGGCCCCAGCCAATGCCGGTGAATCGAATCGCATGGAATTGGATCGTAGGGGGCCCTGCCCTGTCCCTCCCCCCTTTCCCTCTCTCCCTTGAGACTCTCTCTCTGGACTCCCTGCTCCCCAGGCTCCCTCTCGTGCCCCTTGCCCTCCCTGCCTTTCCTCCTCCTCCTCTCTCCTTCTCCTTCTCCTTCTCCTCCTCCTTCTCCTCCTTCCCTGTTCACTCTCGCCACCTCTCCCCTTCCACTTCTTTGACGCCGCCGCCGCCGTCGTCGTCGCCGTCGCTGTCGCCGTTCGTCATGCGACGTCATCGTCGTCGTTCCCCATGCGAAGACGTCGTCGTCGTCTTCGTCGTCGTGAGCCGTGAAAAAGGAGCAGAAGAAGCAGAAGAAGACGAATAAGAAGAATAATAAGAAGAAAAATAATAAGGGGGCCATGGAATCCAAGGAGATTTCGTGGCCCTCGGACCATGATTCGGGCCTCCGGCGGCCGTTCGGGACGATCCGGGCACCCCCGGAGAAGCCCTCGACTAGGCCCTGCTGGAAAGAACCCTGAGGCGAGAAAACCTCCAAGAAGCTTCCCAAGGGGAGGAGGGGCAGCTTCGACCCCCCCTCGTTTTGGGAGGAAGGGGGGTAGCTTGAAGCTGGTATCCCTCCGCAATGGTTGACTAGTTGAAATAGTTTGCGCGCTGGATGCAATAGTTACGCGAGGGTGCAATTCTGTATCTTTTTTGCACGCAGTAGTTGCCGCCCGTGCGGCAGTTCGCGCCCACTGCAATAGTTCCGTACGAAGGCACGCAGTAGCGAACCGTCAATGAACGACTGCAACCCTCGCGCCAGAACCACCTCTCCAGCTTAGTCACCTCCCCCGAAGTCTGCCGCCCTCGACGGAGGCGGCGGCGGCCTCCCCTGCCGGACCCTCGCGCAGCGCCCGCCCGCAGAGGCCGGTGCCGCAACCCAGGTCCAGGCAGCGCCGGAAGCGGCGCGGCAGCCCAGCGACCTGCCGTCCGCCGCGCCAAAGTCGCCATCGCTCGCGCTCGCCGTCGCGTCGTCGGCGCCGTCGCCGTCGCTCGCGCTCGCCGTTGCCGTCGGTCGTCGTCGCCGTCGCCGTCATCGCGTTCGACGTCGTCATGTTCGCCGTCGTCATGCTCGCCGTCGTCATGGCCGTCGTCGTCATGGCCGTCGTCGACGTCGTTGTCGTCGTCGTCGTCTTCGTCTTCGTCGCAGTTGTGTCCGCCGCTGTCCGCCTCCTCCTGCGCCTCCTCCCCCCTTCTCCTCCACCTCCGCCTCCAGCGTCTCCGCCACCTCCCCCTTCTCATCCCAGCTCTGCTTCGAGCTGACCTCCCCGTGCGGCGCCAAAAGGGCGAGGCCACCCTTGGCACCCGTATATACCTCGGATGGGCACGCCGGGGCATGACCCTCGTGTGGGGTCCAGTGCTGTGCAGTGAACTCGTTGCGCCAGGAATGTCACGAGGAGGGCCCCCCTGCCTGGTTTCTGCAGTGGCGTGCGCCAGCGCCCGCGGCGACTCTGGCCTTTTCTGTGCTCGCCTCCAGTGGAAACAAGGTTGAGGGATGACAAAAACGACCCTACCCTGGGCTACTAGTGCGTGGTATGTAAACCTCCTGGCAACGCCCAAAACCTAGAGAGCCGCCAGGACGCCGCACATCACGCAGGGGATTTACCCTGTTAGCCGACAGGAGGTTCAGCGCACAGCGCCTCGTAAACCAGGGTAAGGGCGTTTTTGCGCCCTTGAAAGATGACCCATTTGGTCCTGCCCCCCGCCCACGCTGCGGGGCGCTGCGGGTCATCCTGTGACTGCCGACTGCCACCTGACGCAACCACTGGAGGTGTTGCAGGGCATTCCAAGATGTGTGAGCCGCGGGGCTTCTTGCGTCACTGATCCCCGCAAGCTCCGAGAAGCATGCGTACCACCTACGGCCCAAGGCTTGGAGGCCCTCTCCAGACCGCGGCGCGGTCTGCCCTCAAGCCTGGCGTGGATTTTCCTGAGAAAGGGTGACAGTGACGCGTCTCCGTGGTTCGCGGTTATGCCAACGTCTGGCCGTCTACCCCTAAGACTACTTGCCCACGCTGCCGTCCACCAGGCTCTTTCCCGCTCTCTCTCTCTCTCTCTTTCTCTCTTTCTCTCCCCTACAACATTTCAGAGCCCGCTGGTGTGGAGCACGCTGAGCACGCCCGCTAGGGGTCGCCTCGAAGAAGGAGGAGGAAGGATACCTCGAGGGAGGAGGAGGGAGGACGGAGGAAGAGAACAAGGAGGAAGCGAAGGAGGTGAGGATTGTGCCGTGGAGGGAGGTCGAGGACGAGGCAGGAGATAGGGGAGAAAAAGAAACGCACAGGAGATGGCAGATGGCACGATGGTCACGAACTGGACCGAAAACCAAGAACGGGTCCTCGAACCGAACCGGCCCTCGACCCGAACCAGCCGAATCGGACCGAACTGGCCCAGCAATCCGAACAGGCCGAACTGGACGCGACCCACCCTGGCGGCCTGGCTCACCCTCGGGGCCCTCAGGACCTGGCGACGACGACGACGATGATTACGACGACGACGACCACGACCCGGACCGAAGCCCCCCGAAGCGGATCCCCCTGGTCCGGACACCCCCCAGTCTGCACGGACCCCCCTGGTCTGGACCTCCCCAGTCTGGACCCCCCCGGTTCAGACCCTCCCAATCTGGACCCCCCCGGCCCGGACCCCGTCTGTTTGGACCCGACCACCCCTGGTCCGACCCCCGCTGGTCTGGACCCCCCGCGGTCCAGATCCCCGCGGTCCGGACTGGACCCCCCTGGTCCAGACCCCCTCCCTGCAGGCCTCCGTGGGCGGCAAGGCTTCCGATCGAGGCTCCCTCCCTCCTCCCTCCCTTCTCCTCCCCTCCCACCCGCCCTCCCTGTTCCCCCTCTTCCTGCGCACGGCGGGGTCGGCAGGGCACCTCGGGAGCCAACTGGCGGCACCGCCGCGGGCGGCGCCCAGGCAGCCCTCGTCTTCGTCGTTGTCGACGTCGTCGCTTACTTCGGGGTACTTCGGGGCACTTCGGAATAATTTGAGGGTACTTCGGGGCTTGGAGGTGCTTCGGCTGGACCGAACGGGCCGAGACGGAAACCTTCGGCCGAACCGAACCAGCCGAACTGGGCCGAACCGGCCAAACCGGGCGGCCGAACCGCGGACTGGCCATACCGGACCAGCCTATTGACTTGAACCGGACCAGCTGGACCGAACCGGACGGTTATCTGAACCAGACCGGCCGAACCGACCCGAAAGGCGCCGAACCAGACCGAACCGAACCGAACCGGGGCCGCGATGAGATGGGCAGGGCCGAGGGGCTCCAGCTGTGCCCAGGGCAGGCGGGGGAGGCATCGGGGCGCGGCGCCGAAGATTCTGCCTGCTCTTGACTTCTCGCTTGTCTCATGGCCTCTTCTCTGAAGATATTCGTGAAAGGCCCAGGACCCCACGGCCCAGATGCCAAAATCTCGCGGGCGTTCCTGGGCGATCCTTGAGTCCGTCGCAAACTTCTCCAGAGGAGAGACATCTCCCCAAACAGCCACGAGCGCCTCAAGACGCCCCAGCCTGCGCGAAAGAAAAGCGGATGAAACAAAAGCGGGCTGACCTAAGACAGGATAACATCCTTTAAGAAAGTGAGACCCTCCGCATCCGACAAGCACGAAGAACATAAGGGTACCCTCGAACCGACCTCAATTCGCTTGCGCCCCGCCGCTTGCTCGACTGATGCCTATGCGCTTACGTCCGCGGGCCAAACCAATGTTCTTGCTTCTTGATCTTGTTGCTCTGAATGGTGTGGTGGTGATCCCTCCCGCCGGTGCCAACTGCATAAAAAAAAATGCTTACCCTTCTCCCGGGGCTCGCAACCTCTGTTTTTCCAAAGGGAAATCGTAATGCTCAGACTGCGCTGGCGCTCCCTGGGCTACCTCAGCAACGTCTCCCGCCTGTTATTTCGTCGCAATTCGATCAGAATCGCGCTCTCGCGCGGGACTTCAAAATTACTCAGGAATCGTGCTCTCGCTCAGGACCTCCTTGCAACTTTTCAGGCGCCGCGCCCTCGACGCCCAGGAATCGCGCTCTCGCACAAGACCTCCTGACAATGAATTCAGGACTTGTGCTCTTGCCTCAATGTACAAAAAGAAGTTTACTGCAATGCCCCGCTTGCCCGAGCCGCCCGTTGGGGTCCGCCCGTCCGCGTGCTTGGAAACTTTCCCGCCCGCCTTAATGGCCCGCCCGCCAAGGCTCACTTTCCAGAATCATTGCTCCCGTCTCCTCCCCCTCCTGCTAAATCTTCTTCGCCCCACATCCTCCTCCCTACCTCTTGCCCTCCTCCTTTCTAGCGTCCTTCTTCTTTCTCCGCTCTCTCCCTCTTCCTTATTCCCTCCTCCTATTTGAGGGGGCTGCGCCAAGTACGCCTGGCGGCAAGGACTATCTACCCCCAAAGGAGGGTATGATCGAAGACGGGGAAGGCAAGTATCGAGGATTTGGGGTATACATGTTGAAAGACATGCGAGCAACGAAGAACGAACAATCCTAAACTTATTGTCGAAATCTAACCTACGAAGAATAATTATTGGTGATCGCCCCCGTGAGGTGCCCATTGTTCTATACTTGAAATGCTCCCTCTCGGGGCTCGCACCCTGTCTTCATCGGCCTCGGGGCTCCAATTTGTGCTGCTCGCCCGCGGTTTACAACCGCGGCTCCCGCCTGCCACTTCTCCGTATTCAAAATCTTGCTCTAGCGCGGGGCATTCTCACAATTTGCACAAGAATCGCGCTTTCGCCTGGGACTTCCATGCAAGTTATCCAGACGCCGCGCCCTCGACGTCCAATCATCGCGTTCTCGCACGAGACCTGTTCGCAATTTGCTTAGGACTCGTGCTCTTGTCTGAAGCTTCTTCGCAACATGAAAAAACGCTGCAATGCCCCGCCCGGCCGACTCGCCCGTTAAATCCCGCCCGCCCGATCAACCAATTAGAATCCGCCCGCCCCAGCCCCCCGTTAGGGTCCGCCCGTTCGCCAACTGAAAGCACGCCTGGCCTGCCCGTTAAGAGTTCGCCCGTCCACTTGCGTGGAAGCCCTCCCGCCCGCTGTAATGCCCCGCCCGCCCGACCCGCCCGTTGGGGCCCGCATGCCCGAGCCGCCCGTTGGGTTCCGCCCGTCCGTGTGCTTGGAAACTCTTCCGCCCGCCTTAATGCCACGCCTGTCCGATCTGCCCGTCAGGGCCCATTTTCCTAAATGATTGCTCCCCTCTCCTCCCCTTCACCCTCCTCCCCCCCTCTTGCCCTCCTCCTTCCTCGTTTCCTCCTCCTGTCCTCGCTCTCTCCTTTTTTTCCTGTTCCCTCCTCATATTTCGGGAGGCCGCGCCAAATCCGCGTGGCAAGCAAGGGTGATACCCCCAAATGGGGTGCGATCGAAGACGAAGGTTGGGATCGACGGCTTGGGGTATACAGGTTGAGTTACGCTCGAACATCGAAGAGTGATCACAATGAGACTTATTGTTGGATTCTACTTCCAAAAGAATGATTGTTGGTGATCCCCCCATCTGGTGCTCATAGTTTTGTTCATTTGAAGTGTCCCCCTTGGGGCTCACTTTGTTTTCATCAAGGTACGTCTTGGGGCTCCAAGCTGCGTTGCTCGTCCCAAATTTACAGCAGTAGCGGCTCCCACTGCTATTTCCCCGCAGTGTACTCAAGCTCGCGCTCTAGAATAGGACTTCCTCTCAATTTAATCAGGGCTCGTGCTCTCGCCGGATGCTTCTTCACAACCTGGGAAATCCGCAGCAGTCCCCGCCCGCCCGTTCGGGCCCGCCTGCCCTACCTGCCTGTCAACCTCCGCCTTCCCGACTTGCCCGTCAAGGTCTGCCCGCCCGCCTTGCCCGTTAGGGTCCACCCGCCCCGCCCGTCAGGGACCTCCCGTCTGCGTGCTTCTACAACCCCCCCGACACGCCAATCAGATCCGCCCGCCCGACCCGCCCGTTAGGGTCCGCCTGCCATTCCTCCTGTTTCTCTATCCCGCTGTCACCTTGTTTCGTTTCTCCCTCCGTTCTATTTTTAGGGGGCCGCGCCAACTACACGTACCGGGCAAAGAAAATATACTATCCCAGTCGGGGTACGATGGAAAAAGAGGGCGGCTATCGAGGCTTTTGGGGTGCACGTGTTGGGTGGATCGCGTTTCTTTATGTTCGGCGACGACGGGCGTCAGGGGGGGGGCGGGGGGGGATGTATTACGTAACGCCCCCCCCGCCGTGTGGCTCTGGCAGTACAGCCGCGCCCGCGCGCATGACGCGACGAGCGACAAGCGACAAGCGACGACGACGACGACGACGCGAGCAGCATGTATGTGGCGAACGGCCCCACTGCGCCTGTGTACACCACAACGCTCGCGTGCACCACAGCGCGCGTGTACACCACAACGCCTGCGTACACCGCAACAAGCGTGTGCAACGCAGCGCATGTGTACATCGCATTGCTTGCGTACACTACAGCGCCGGTGTACATGTGTACACCGCAGCAACCATGTGCAACACAGCGCCTGTGTACACCACAATGCTTGCGTGCACCGCAGCGCCTGTGTACGCCACAGCGCCTGTCTACACCACAGCATCCGCGTGCAATGCAGCGCGAGTGTACACCACAATGCCTGCGTGCATAGGACAGGTAGACGGAGCATGTACGTGAGGATCTGCCGCGGACAACTAAACGCAACGCCAGGAAAGTGCTGATAATCGAATGCGACATTCTTCCCTCCTCCCTCCTCCTCCACCTCCTCCTCCTCCTCCTCCTCCTCCTCCTCCTCCTCCTCCTCTTCGTCCTGCTCCTCCTTACCCGCTGTCGTGCGGGTTGGCGCTACAGCTCAGCGGCGCATCTCAGCGTGCACAGCAGAATGGCCTATTGGATCGGTCCGCTTGGTTCTCGGACGGCCAATTTAGCTGGAGCCTCCTGGACGCAGATGGGAGGAGTTACGGTGATGCGGGCGGACTCGGGGGGGATCGTAGATTCCAGCGGCGCTCCTTTGTCCATAGGGATTCCTTTGCATTGTGTATTGTGGAATCCACAAGCGCTCCATTCTGTCATGAAGATTCATTCTAACATTCTATATACAACAGTGGTGCTGCGTTGCACACGGTTGCTGCGGTGCGCACAGGCGCCGTGGTGTACACAGGCACTGCAATGCATGCAAGCATTGTGGTGTACACTGGTGCTGCGTTGCACACGGCTGATGTGGTGTACGCAGGCGTTGTGGTGAACACGCAGGCTGTTGTCCCAGCAGGCACGGTGGCACAAACTGACGCTGTGTTGCACGCGGCCGCTGTGGTGTACATGGGCGGTGTGATGTACACAGGCGCTGTGGTGCACGCAGGCACTGTGGTGTACACAGGCGTTATGGTGCAGATCGCCACCTACATGCTGGTGTACCCGTCCTCCGTCATTCTTAAGCATTCCCAGACGCCGCCAACGCGAAGCGTGACGTCATCGCCCTCCCCCCCCCCAAATGGTTGCCGTCATCGGCCAGGAATAAGAAACAGGCTCCAGCCGCGCCCGCGCGCACGACGACGATGAGCGATTAGCGACGAGCGACGAGAGACGACGACGACGACTGCGGACCAAACTCCTCTGCGGATTCCTATGCGGGTCCCAACGCGCACGGCGGCACTGCCCGGAGCGCACTGCAGGGGGAGCGTTACGTCATACGGGGGGGGGGAACGGGGGCCCGCCCGTCATGCCCCAAGCAATGAAGAAACGGGCTCGTGTCACGCGAACAATAAGAGGCGACTCATCTTGAACTGGTTGGTGCTGCTGTGGCGTGGCGTGGGGTGGCGTGGCGTGGTGTGGTGTGGAGTGGTGTATTGTGTGCGTGTGTGTGTGTGTGTGTGCGTGTGCGTGTGCGGTTGCTTGTGCGTGTGCGTGTGTGTGTGTGTGTGTGTGTGGTGTGTGTGTGTGTGTGTGTGTGTGTGTGCGTGCGTTTTTGGAGCAGCGGGGCCTTCTCCTGGCACGCGCGCGGGAAATCGTACTTGAGGCTGTGGAGCAAGTAGTCCTCCGCCCAAGACGACCGCGAGACAAGGAACAGAGACGGGGAAGGAGAGGATGACAATCACCAGGCCGACGTTGTGCAATCGACGACGGTAGCACGGGCCTGCCTGGGGCCCCGCTCACCACGCACCAGCCGGGCCCCCACCAGGCCTGTGAGCGTAAACGAGGCGTGCGAACGCGAAGCATTCAAGATCCGTCACCAACCCCGTTTGTGGGGACACGAAACTCCGCGGTTTAGGCTTGCTGCTCCGCGCTCCACTTTCACTTCCAAGTCTCCTGTATTATAATCTTACGTTCTGCTTCCCACGGTAAATGATTAGAATCTGCACGAGGGGGGGAATCGAAACTGGCCCTGGCTACCACCACTTAGGGGGGAGTCACAATTTGTGAGGTGTCCTGGAAAGTCCTTAGTGAGTTACGCCGTCTTCGCGCCCCCGAGACAACGATCCTCCATACATTGCGCGATGCTTGCGTCCCCGAGGCCATACACCCTTGCAGGTTCGCTGTGCTCGCGATCCCGAGACCACATGTACTTCCGAATGCGTTATGCAATGCTCGCGTCTCCCAGGAAATGCTTTTTGTTTTCCTCTCTCTCTCTCTCTCTCTTTTTTTTCTCTTTCTCTTTCTCTCTCTCTCTCTCTCTGTCGCAAATTACACAATCTCCGCGTCCCGAAGCCACGATCCCTCGTGAGTTGCGCGTTCTTCGCGTTCCCGAAATAACAACTCTTCGCAAAGTGCGCGCTTTTCGCGATTTCGAAGCTACAACCCTTCATGCAAATGCCCCCAAGACGGTGCAAGAGGCCTCCGAGACAGCCCAGGAGCGTTCCAAGGCGCCTGAGATGGCCCTAAGAGGCGCCCAGTAGCGCTCCAAGAGAACTCCCAAAAGGGGCTCAAGGGGCCAACGTCGGCGATGTTCCATCGGTTGTTGCTACATGTTAGCGCGCTCGTATCTCCGCCGGCCCCCGCCAGGGGTTCCGACGCTGCTTCGCGACGGCGTTCGGGCCTCGCAACATAGCTCTTGCACGCCCGAGAGAGGGGGCCGGCGGCAAGGGGCGAAGCCCTTGAGGTATGACATGTGAGACGGGTAACGCAACTCACCAAAGCTTATAGGGGTCGGGATGCTGGCCCGCGCGCGCGGGTGCAATTGGAGGGCCCCGGATCGCCCCAATAGTTGGTCGGAAGAGTGTCGCAACGCGTGGAGGCACGAGAGGGCTTATGGGCATGTCCACTGAAGCCCAGTTTCGCTGCCCCAACCCAGGTCTACGCGCCGCCCGCGAAAAAATACACGCGCCCAAATCAGGGCTGTCATGCGCCGCGTCGTGAACGCGAAGAATCTCGAACGAGGAAAACTCGCGCCCCTTCGTGGCCTCGTCGGCCGGGCGCCAGCAGCGCCGAGGGGGCGCGGCAGGCAGTCTGCGCGGCGCAGTTGGTCTCGTGACCGCGTCGCAACGGACCAGAGGGCTCGGGGCGCACTGGCCAACCTAGGGTGACGGATAGCGGCGCTGGCCTCCTCCCGCGCACTCCCTGGGAACCCGCGTCCAAATAATATTTTCTCCGACGCGTGCCCCCTAGCGGTGGGCCCGGCGCTTTTGCCGACTGCCGCCGCTCAGCGCCGCGGTGAACTGATGGCCCCGCATTTTTATGTGGCGGCAGGCGAAGCACATCAAAACGTTGCCCTCGATCGCCGGCGAGCGCGGCGCTGGAACGCATGGCCCGACCAATCCCTGCCAACGACGACATGGGAACAATGATGGGGCCCCCTGCCGACGCCCAGCTCGCCCATGCTGACTCCCCCCCCTGCGCCTGTCGTCGAACTCTCCGGGGCGCCCTAAGACTGGCGCGCCGGGCCCCAATAGACACCGCGCAGGCCCTTTGGGGGTCGAGCGCGGCATTGTAGATGGAGTCGTGCGCGGCGTTGGCCAGAATGGCAATTATTATGTTGACGAGGAGGCCGAACTCGCGCGGCCCGCGAGCGTCCCCGCCGCACGTCGCAAAGACTCCAACTCCTGGCCATGGGCGCCTGCGTCTGTCGCGCCACGCGCGGCTGCCAGCATCGGGCCAGCACCGCAAAGCTGCGGCGCGCTGAGCCCCATCGTCGCAGCATCTTAAATCTGGGTAGCTGTCTGCAGGTTGCTTGAGAGCTGCTTTGGCTGTCTTTCTATCAGGTCTGCCGCCGCTGAGCTCGCGCCCGAGGTTTCCATCCCAAGTATTAATCAACGTGCCGATCCCCTCCGAAGCCTTCGCGGGCGCGAGCAGACGCGGCCGCCCGCCCGGACTTCCCGGCTTGCATCGAGAGCCCCATAATGGAAACATCTCGGCTGGGGTCTGGGCCCCCCTGCAGAGCCCCGGCGCGGAGATCCCGCGAGGCCCTGTCCATTGCGTGGCCGCCGCGTCTCCTGAGGCCTTGGAGTCAACGTTAAGGCGCGGCTGATTGGCCCTCCCGATGGCCCCGTAGGCCACGCGACCACAATTTGGCCCCGGCAGCCGAGCGCGCGAATCACGAGGCCACCAGACCGTTCTGCGCTCGAGCTCCCGCCGTCGACGAAAGAGGCGATGCCGTCTCAGCGCGTCTCCGCGTGCCAAGTTGAACGACGTTGGAATGTTCGCCTCGGCGGTCTGCGATTTCAGACTGCAAAATGTGCTCGCGTGATGAGTAGCTAGACGAAAATCCCCTCGCACTGCCCCATGCCTGTGGACCCCGCGACTGTCGATCCAGGCCGCGAGAGAGGTCGACGAACTCTGGCCGGAAACCGAATCGCGCTCTTGCCGAACGCGATGGGCCGGGCGCTTCCACCCGGCGCGGCCAATCGGGCCACTTCTCGCGCGATCACGGCCGATGGCCGCGCCAGCGCTGGGAGAGAGGAACGACGCGCCAGCAAAGCTGGCCCGGAAATATGCCAAAACGCACGCAGGAGCAGCCTCGTCGGCCCCGCTGAAGTCAGAGCAGCAGATTGTAAATCCCCTGGACATGGCCTCGGCAAGCCTCCCCGACTCACGTGGTCATCGGGCTTCGCCAGACCGCGCGCGACACGGCAATTCCACGCGCCGTTGCTCAACCTTGCGCCGCGGCTGCATCCGAATCTTGCGCCCTCGAGGACAGATGAGACTGGCCAGCGCCCCTCTGGAAAACACATTTGGTCCATCTCTGTTGCGCCTCCGCCTCTTGCTTGCGGCGCTGCTTCGGCGCGTCGCCCGCCGCCTCGATCACCGCGGCAACTATTTCAATGGCGCCATCTCGCATCGACGCCTCGCGCCCGTTGCCGCAGCGTCGAGCCGCCCAGTCGTCGGGGCGTTGTCCCACCTCCCGAACCTTTTGATCCCCGAGAGAAAAATGGCAACGTCTGCCCAGGACTTAGCGAGACCGTGAACTAGAACACTCGGCATCTCACTGCTATCCTTGCAATCTCGCTTGCGTCCGAGCCTTCGACCACCGTCGACAACTCGTCGACCTTGGCCTCCTCGCCGGGCGCCCGCCGCAAGACTTCTACGGCGGCCACTTGTCCAGCGCGCAATGAACAATACTCAAGTAAAACGGAAGTCGATCGCGCGCCCCGCTACGCATGGGCCATGTTGCGCCGGCCCGCTCGCATTATCCCCGGATGTTCTGCCCGCCGCGCTGCAGCTTGCCACGCGCGTAGATGTGGCCCATGACGCAGCCGAGCCAGCCCGGGCTTCCATTCTGCCCAAACAGAGATGGCTCGCGCGGGGCCCCCTTGTCCGGGGCGCGCGTCATTCCCAGGCCCCGCATCTCTCGCTCAACGCCCATGGCCGCCGTGCCCCGCGTGTGCGGCGACGGCCCTCGGCCAATTGCCTGCTCCACAGCGCGCATGGCGGGGGCGCTGGAATATCCTATGTTGGGGCGCTTGGGAAGCTGTCGCAGTTCGACAGGGTGACTCAGACATCTGTCCTTATCTGTGCTACAGTGGGGTAGGCTGACTGGCGCATGAGTAGGCGCGACTGCCACTCCATCTGTCATCGTTGGACTAGCGCGCGCCGCAAGCGAATCAGCCTTGAGAAATTCAGTGTGCGCTCGACCCCCCTCGAACGAGCTTTGTCGTTCACCCCGCGCGACCCCCCCCCCGCGCGCTCGCCCGCGGGGGCAGCGAGCGTCGCTCTCGACTGCTCCAGCCGCGCTCGACCTCTGATCTGAGGAGCTTGATTCTTCTTCAAACGAACATTGCGTCCCCCTTGGGGCTCTTGGCACGCTGGAAACGCCTGGCAAACGCGACGGAACTTGAGCGCGTTAAATTTTTGTGTTCGACGTTTTCAAGCCCGTCGCCCCGGGCCATCATGTCTTAGCGTGTCTTGATGTCTGGTCGAAGGCTGTTCCTCGTCTTCCCTGCTGCCCTTGCTCCCGCTTGCCCATGCCGCCGTTCTCCCTCCGGGGGCCGAGAACGCTTGAAAAGCGCTCTAGCGCAGGTCCAACGCCGTCCAGAAACGAGCCCAGCGGCCCAGCGGCCCCAGGAGGGGCAGCAGGCCACGGGGCCCGCCAGACTGCGCGCCAGAGGAGAAGGAACTGAGGACGTCGTAGACGGCAATATTAACAATGCAATCAGCTGGCCCTGGGCAACAATACGAAGAAGCAGGCTAATGATATTCTGCACTCTGTTCCCCCCCAACTATCCAGGGGCGGGCCCCGTCGCTGCGCCTCTCCCCCGGCAGCCCGCCAGCATGTGCCCAGCGTGTCCAGACCGACCTGGTCCGCCAGGCGCGACGAATCTAGCGCGACCCTCCCCGTGCCCCCCCATGCAAAGAAACCGGCGCAGCAGCGGCCCTCGCGGGTCACGTCGCGGGAGGCTCGGACATGGCGGGCCGCGTGGCCATCGCGACAACGCGGCCGCGACGTGCGATGCCCGACGACAGAACGGCCGCCTCCGTGCGATTCGCCGCCGAAGAAGGCCCGCTGCGCCCTCGGCCCTCGAGCTGCCCTTGGAACTTCGGCGGCGCCCGGCGGTCGCACTTGTGCCCCCGTTCCAGAGCGCGGCGTGGAGGGGGCAAGCCGCGTCGGCATTTGCCGCGGCGATCAGTTCAGCCACTTTGCAGTCGCCGACCTGGCGGCCGACGTTTGCAGGCCCCCCCCCCCGCCGCCCGCGATCTCCGCGCCGGGGGCGACGGCCGTTTCCGGGCGCGAGGCGTTGCCGACGCCGCGACCGCAAAACGCTGACTCCTAGTAAGTATGCACTATGCGCGTTGCACTTGGTCTGCTTCCTGAACGTGAGCGGCCGGTTTGCGGCCTGCCGCGCCTCCGTCTCATCGTTCGGTCGATGAGTGCCAAATGACTTAAGCGTCGCTTTGGGCGGCTCCAGCGGCACCCTTGAGCGGCCCCTGCTTCTGCTGCGGTTGTTCCCGTGTCTGAGCAGGCGCGCGCTGGCTGAATGCGTTGCTGCCTCGGCAGTTATGCCGAGAAGCCGAGTCTTCGCATTCGCGGCGATCGCGGGGGGTCGCCTGTGCAACCCCTTCGGCGAGCTGCAATGCGCTTGGCCCGGCGCCGGGCTCGCGCGCCGCCGCGCCGAACGGGGCGCCCAATTCCGCTTCAGTCGCCCCGGCGCCGCCTCCGCCGCCTGGCGACGTGGCGCGCTGCGTGGCCAAATCCGTCGCCGCGGACCGCATTCCGTCAAATTTAACACGTTTGTCGGCCGTGGCCATCTGGGGCGCTTCCAAATCCTGCCGCGCGGCCCCGGTGCGCCCCGTCTGATCCCTGGCGCCCTTGCCCTGATTACTGCGGTGGTTTTCCATTACTTCTGCCTGCCGGGCGATGGCGGGGGCCCGCGTGGAAGCAGGCTCGCGCATGATAGTGGCCGCCTTCGCGCTGGGCCTCCTCGCAGTCAAGTTCAAGGGCGCTTTTCGCCAATGTCTGCCATGTCGTGATGCCTGTCCAACTCTGCAACTTTCGCTCGCGTCTTGCCCTCGCCATCATCGCCGGCCCCGGTGCCGGCGACGCCTCCGTCGTCCAGCTCCGCCCCGTGCATTTTTCCCCCCTGCGGAATTGCGCTCTGTGAGCTTGGCCCCCAACCTGAAAGTGGTGGCCCCTGCCTCCTTGAGCTCTGCGCGCCAGTCGCGCGTGCTGCCCTGCGATGGTGGTGGTGGTGGGAAGTTCCATTGGTTTTCGACGGCCCTCGCCCACTTGGAGCATCGCTCGGCTTGCAGCGAGGGAAGCGGGCGCCCTTCGAACGACCGCATGCGTCGAACGCCTCGCGGTCTGGTTTGACGCAAAACCGCTCGCCCATTCGATCGCGGAAGCAATGTCGACATAACCGCGCGCGATCAACTGCCGCGCGAAGAACAGGGCCCACGCCGCCGCCCACAGGGAAAAAAAACGCGCGAGAAAGGCCGCGTTGCCCATCGAGGCTCGCGAAAAATCTTGCGATCACTCGGCCGTTCTCAAGAGTTGGCGGCCGCGAGCTTGGAGGGGGCGCGTTGAGCGGGGGGTTGCCGCGGGGACATTCGGCGGCGCCTGCAACCAGTGGGGGGGGGCGTCCCAGGCGGTCGGCGCCGTCGAACAGAAGCGCGGGGATCCCCCTCCCCCACCCCCCCTTCTGCCCACTCCCTCCCCGACCCCCCCCCCAGCGCCGGCGGCGGTGGCGCTGGCGCGCTGGCGCCCGCGCTGGCGCTGGCGGCTGGCAGCGCCGACGGTGGCGACGCGGCGACGATGACCAAGACGAAGCCGACGACGACGGGAAAGCCGCGTGTAATCCTGTCCTCGGCCCTGAATGTCGGAATATTGACGGGGCCGGACTTCAAATATAAATGCTATTTGCGCAGCGCCGCGTGCCTCCCGCGCCTTCCGTCGCCGCCGTCGCCGTCGCCGTCGCCGTCGCCGTCGCCGTCGTCGTCGTCGTCGTCGTCGTCGTCGTCGTCGTCGTCGTCGTCGTCGTCGTCGTCGTCGCAATCGTCGTCGTCGTCGTCGTCGCCGCCGGCCCCGTCGTCGTCGTACTCGTCGTCGTCGCCGCCGTGGTCGTCGCCGTCGTCGTCGTCGTCGTCGTCGTCGCCGTCGTCGCCGTCCTCGCCGTCGTCCTCATCGTCGCCGTCCTCGCCGTCGTCGTCGTCGTCGCGGTCGTCGTCGTCGTCGTAATCGTCGTCGTCGCCTTCGTCGTCGCCGTCGTCGTTCTTGTCGTCGCCGTGGTCGTCGCCGTCGCCGCCGCCGTCGTCGTCGACGTTGTCGTCGTCGTCATCGTCGTTTTGGCCGTCGTCGTCGTCGCCGTCGCCGCCGTCGTCGCCGTCGTCGTCGCCGTCGTCATCGTCGTCGTCGTCGTCACCGTCGACATCGCCGTCGCCGTCGCCGTCGCCGCCGTCGTCGTCGTCGTCGTCGTGGCCGTCGTCGTCGCCGTCGTCGTCGCCGTCGCCGTCGTCATCGTCGCCGTCGTGGTGGTCGCCGTCTTCGTCGTCGTCGTCGTCGCCGTCGTCGCAATCGTCGTCGTCGTCGCCGCCGCCGGCCCCGTCGTCGTCGAACTCGTCGTCGTCGCCGTCGTGGTCGTCGCCGTCGTCGTCGTCGTCGTCGTCGTCGCCGTCGTCGTCGTGGTCGTCGCCGTCGTCGTCGTCGTCGTAGTCGTCCTCGTCGTCGTCGTCCTCGCCGTCGTCGTCGTCGTCGCGGTCGTCGTCGTCGTCGTCATCGTCGTCGCGGTTGTCGTCGCGGTTGTCGTCGTCGTCGTCGTCGCCGTTCTCGTCGTCGTCGCCGTCGTCGTTGTCGTTGGTTTTAAATCCCACCGATACCGAATGCTGTTTCAAGCGTTTCGGCGTGCGCGCGCGACGACGCGCCCGTGCGCACTTCGTCCCATATGTTGCAATGAAGTCTTGTGACAGCACGCACGCAAGGGCGTTCAAACGATTCGGATATGCGAGCGCGAGAGGCCCGTTTGATAGCATGTGGTGGACATGTTGGAGAACCGATGGTTTCCCTTAAGAATTGGCAACAGCGCTGGCGCAGGCTTTTGGGGGAAATTATTGTTGCGAGATCATACGTGGTTGTTCCCCTCGTTGTTTCGGGGATGTCGATGCTGAAATCTCTGCGACGTCTACGGTTGCTTCAACAATTTCAGCATGCGCACGCGACGACGCGGGCGCGTGCACAGGGTGCACTTGAAAGCTGATGCGTTTTGATAAACGAGTGCGGGCGCATAACATTTTTTCGGAAGATGGGGGGGGCGATGCTTGCCTGCTTGGATGGGGCGAATTCATACTCGGGATAGAAGATGCGGCAGAACCGTATGTGAATAGCAAAACGGGAAAAGGGAGGACCGTTAACCCTGGGGGGGGGGGAGATCGAATGTTCTTCCAAAGCGGTCAATTAGTAACACGCACTATTCGTTTCGGCTGCCCATGATATATTTTCAAATAAAATTAAAATATGTCTGGCGACGGTCGTTGTCCCGGGGTGGGTTGTGGGATGGGGCCCCGGGTAATGTGGGGGCGGGGGTACGGGTGGGGCACGTCGGGCGGGGGTGCGTTGCAATCGTCATTGTTTGCGCGCGAGCACCAGCATGTTGGGGGGGTCCAGCCACCCCCTCCCCACCTACGATCGTCATCATTACTCGGGGGGGGGGATTTCGCTTGGGTAGCGACCGCTACGGGCTACAAGGGAAACGCAGCTTCCCTACGGCGCAAGCGTGCGCAACCTACGGCGTAACCACCAACAGGCCGCCCAATGCGCGGACCCGTGGCGCAACCGTTCCTTCTTCGATTCCTCCTCCTTTTGGTTCGGAGCGGCATCAATCCTGCGGACCAACTCGGGGGGGGGACACCGAGGCAGAATCGGCGATGCATCGCCGATCAACCCGTCGATGGCCTCCGACAGCGAATCCGCAAGCTCTCGGGCGGGGTGGACTATCGGGCCCCTATCGGCGACGAATGGGCGATTGGGGGTCGAGGCGTCACCCCCGGAACCCATATTCCCCTGACGCTGCCCCATGGCTTTCGCGCCACAAACTCTCTCCCCGGGCGGCCTTTCCAGGACGATCCGGGGGCGACCCCAGAACGCCCTCGGTGAAGCGCAGCTGCTGAAAGCACTCCGAGGCTGGGAACCCACTGAAAACCGACGAACACGCTCGAGAATATCGAACCGGATACGTCGCCGACCCTCCCCCCAAAAATTGCCCCTGAATGGTTTCTCCCTAATCAACTTGTCTGCAAAGTCCCGTATGTTTTGACAAGAAGAGACCGAGTACGGGATGACCATGATCTGGAATCGGTGGGCCGCCATTGCCTTCTTCTCGTCTCTCGTTGTCTCGCGCCGTATACTGCTGTCTCCCGATGCCTCCCTTGTCTTCTGTTGTCTCCAACTTGTCTGTCAGGGTCCGGTACGTTGTTTCGAAGAGACCGGATGCTGGGCGACCACGACCTGGAATCAGTGGGGCACCACGGTCTCCTGTTGTCTTTCGTTGTCTCCCGTTTACTCCCTATCCCTACCCCTAACCATCTATCTCGATCCCTATCCCTTTCATCCCTATTCTATATCCCGACCCTATCCCCATCCCTATCTTTATCTCTATTTTCATCCCTGCCTACATCCCTACCCCTGTCGCCTCCCGATGTCTCTCGTTGTCTTCCGTAGTCTCCCGTTGCCTCCCGTTGTTCCCCGTTGTCTCCTTATCCCTAGTCCTGTATCCCTTTCCCTATCCTATCCCCATCCCGATCCGAGCCCGTATCCCTATGTCCCTAGCCCTGCACACTTACGCCTACCCATGTAGTGTTCGTATTAGTGTATGGCCTCCTCTACGGTCTCCCAAATTTGTAGCACGGTATAAAGCTAGAGTGACTCATCTATTATGCTGCTTCGGGTCTCCTGCCGCGAGGGTGTAATATTTCTACCCAGGGCGCGCGATCCTCGAACTCCTCGGCGTATTCGTCGAATTCCAGCTCCACCTGCCAGCGCTCTCCAGGGCTCCAAGAGGCCTCCTCTTGCTCCTCCTCCTCATCCCCCTCGCTTCTTCTCTCACCCCCCCACAGTGTTCGGCTGCCACGACGGCTGGTGGAATACATCGTGCAATAGCTTGGCCAAGCTTTGGCCCAACGTTTGGCCACACTGGCAATTTCACGAAAACAGGCAAGGGGTGACGGCGACTCTTCGCTAGCGTCCGCGATAGCTTCGAATGGAGTCCACAATAGCACCATACCGTCTAGACGGTCACTCCTCCTCCTCCTCCTCCCTCCTCGTCCTCCTCCTCCTCCTCCTCCTCATCGTTCTCCGAACTTCAGGAAATCTCGAGAGGAAGGCAAAAACAATGGGAGAGGAGAAGGAATGAAGGAATCAGAACAGTACGGGCGATAACCCGACACGCCCTCCCTCCCTCCCTCCCTGCATCATCACCATATTCGTCCTCTTCCTCAACACTATCGCCATCACCATCGCCAATGTCAGCGTCAACGTCAACGTCACAATCGCCCACAACAACAATATAGCATCATCACAAACACCATCATCGCAATCATCATCAACTCCATTACCAACATCATCACCCACATTATCGCCACCACCGTCCTTATCATGATCCTCCTCCTCCTCATCACCATCCTCACCACTGTCACAATCCTCAACATTACCAGTGCGACAACCGTAACAAACACACGGGCAAGTATCAACGATACTACATCATGGGCAGGCGGCATGTGCGACACGATTGGGTTCGCTGGTCCTCCTGCGGGCCTCGCCATGTTAAGCTGCGAAGGTAGACGATGAACTAGAGATGGACGAGAGGGAGATGCATGTGTACATGAATGCTACGACTGGCTTCGCGCATTCCGCTGTCCCGAGGGAGGCGCCCACTCCTCATGGCTCTTGGGACACGTAACAGTACATGTGATCTGCGTTCCCAGGCCTCTGAGGAATGCCTGGGAGCTTCACATCGGCATACCCCTTACGCACTTCGTGCGCGCTGGGCCTCCAGAAGCGCTCGGAGGGCCAGCACAAACATACTGATGATCCACGCTTTCGGACTTCTGGGACCAATGAAAAGCTACAATAATACTTTGGGACTTCAGGCTCCTGGGATACGCAACAGTACGAGCATCCGTCCTTCCCTTCTCCTCGGAGCCTCACATAGGCAGACACCTCACGCACTTCGTGCATCATGGGCACTCAGCTGGCCCCAGAGTCAGCTCCTCGGAGCCTCACTCTGGAACTCCCCTCACGTGCTCCATGGACCTCTCGGGCTGGGCGCAAGGGGGGGATAGCAAAGGGGGGGTTTGAGAATCAGCTCGCGTAGCTGATTTTCCAGGAGGCCGCTATGTATCGAGAAATGGGCCCCGCGGTGGGGCCGAAACCACCTGCATGCAACAAATTTCGTAACCCCCCCTCTCCCAATCCCCCCCTTTCGTCCGGCCCGAACCTCCAGGGGCGATCCGCCGGCCCCGAGTGTGAATCAAGGAAGCCTCAATTCGGCAGACCCCCCACGCACGTCGCGCCTCATGGACTCCGCGGGGCCCTTGAGCTAACCGCTAACCCCTCAGACGGTTCAGGGGCGCTTCGACTCGGCGCACCCCGACGTGCTGAGAACGGGGGGTTGTGGAGCCCCTCGGGGTTCCAGGGCGCGCGCGCGAGGCTTTCACCCTGAGTTCGCGCGTGCGTCTTTCAGTGATGTGCGTACTCTGTGGCGTCCTCGTCTCCTTCCGCCCTCCCTCCTCCTCCTCATTTTTTGTTGTTTTTTTAAATCTCTCTCTCTCTCTCTGTCTCTCTCTCTCTCTCTCCCCCCAAAAAAAGAACAAGGCTTTTGTTTGCTTGTTTGTTTTTTTGGGGGGTGGGTCGGCGGCGAAAAAAAGAGGAATGCGACGTGGCCTCATCTGCCCTCCCCCTGGAAGGATTCCTATTGAACGCCCCCACAAGAAGGATTCATAGTGAAATCCTCTACAGAAGGGTTCTTATCGAAACCCTCCACTGAATAATTCCTACTGAAATCCTGCGCAGATGGATTCCCATTGAAATCACCAGCAGCAAGATTGATATTGAGATGCTTCGAAAGAAAGAGCCCCCGGTTGGCATTGCATTGGCATTGGTTTGGCAATGGTTTGGCATCGCATTGGCATTGCGCTTGGCAGTGCGTTGCTCGTGTGCTTGCATTTCGCAAGCATTGCGTCTCCTCCTCCTCCTCCTCTTTTTGTTCGCTCTCCCCCTCCCCCCCAAAAAACAAACAATGGAATGGACTAGTTGTTGTTTTTTTTTGGGGGGGGGGAGGGGTCGGCGGCGAAAAAGAAGGAATGTGACGTGGCCTCAACTGCCCTCCCCCCTGGAAGAATTCCGATTGAACGCCCCCACAAGACGGATTCATAGTGAAATCCTCTACAGAAGGATTCCTATCGAAACCGTCCACTGGATGATTCCTAGTGCAATCCGCCACAGATGGATTCCTATTGCAATCACCCGCAAAGAGATTGATATTGAGATGATTCGAAAGAAAGAAAAACCGTTGGCATTGCATTGGCATTGGTTTGGCAATGGTTTGGTATCGCATTGGCATTGCGTTGGCACTGCGCTTGGCAGTGCGTTGCTAGTGTGCTTGCATTTCGCAAGCATTGCGCTGGCGAGTCCTAGAATGGAACCCTCCACAAACGGACTCCAATCGAAACCTTCTACAAGAAAGACTCCTATTGAAACCCTCCACAAAAACGGTTCGTATTGACACCCTCCACAAAAGGATTCCATGCGAAACCCTCCACAGAAGGATTCCTATTGAAATCTACCACAAGGGATTTCCCCATCGGCAGTGCATTGGCATTGGGTTGGGATCGCTTTGGCATTGGTGTGGCATTGCGTTGGCATTGCGCTGGCGTGTTCCAACACCCCCCTTCGCAGAATGATTCCTGCTGAACCCCCCACAAGAAATATTCCGAGTGAAACATCCCACAAGAAAGATTCACATTGAACTCCCTCACGGAAGGATTACATTCGAAGCCCTCCATGTAAGGATCCTTCTTGAACCCGACCACAAACGATTTCCCCCATTGGCATTGCTTTGACATTGGCTTGGGATCGCTTTGGCATTGGTTTAGCATTGCGTTGGCATTGCGCTGGCGAGTTCTAATGGCTCCCCCCCACAGAAGGATTCCTATGTAAAACCTTGCACAAGAAGGGATCTTGTCGAACGCCCCCACATGAAGGATTCAAATAGAACTCCCCCCCACAGAAATATTCTAATCGAATCCCCCCACGGGAGGATTCCTATCGAAATCCTCCGAAGAAGGATTCGTAACCAAATCATTCACATAAAGATTCCTAATGCAATCTGATGGAAGACGGGAGTCCCGCCATCGGCATTGCATTGGCATTGGTTTGGCAATGGTTTGGCATCGCATTGGCATTGCCATGGCATTGCGATGGCAGTGCGTTAGCAGTGCGTTGGCATTGCGTTGAAATTGCGCTGGCGAATCCTACTCAAGCACTTCACATAAGGATTCCTATTGAACACCCCCACGAAAGGGATGCCTATTGAATCCCCCTCACACGAAGAATTCACATTGAAATCCTCAACAGAAGGGTTCCATGCGAAGCCCTCCGTACAAGGTTTCCTATTGATTCCTGACCTTCCACAAGAAGGGGTCCTTCCGAAAGCCCCCCACATACAAGATTCATGCTGAAACCCCCCACGGAAGGATTCCAATCGAAACACTCCACAGGTAGGATTCCTTACCACAAAGAATACCCCCCATTGGCATTGCATTGGCATTGAATTGGGATCGCCTTGGCATTGGTTTGGCATTGCGATGGCAAAGCTTTGGCATTGCGCTGGCGAGTCCTAATGGCTCTCTCCGCAGACGGATTCCTACTGAAACCCTCCACAAGAACGATTCAGATCGAATCCTCCTACATGAAGGATTCCTAATTCCTAGTGAAACCCTCCACATGAGGATCCCGATCGAAACCCTACACATAAGCATTGCTATTGAAATCCTCCGAAGAAGAATTCGTAATGACATTATCCGCAAAGTATTCCATTGAAATCTACCGAACGAAAGGATTCCCCCATTGGCAGTGCATTGGCATTGGTGTTGGTTGGGAATGCATTTGTATCGCATTGGCATGCATTGGCCTGGTGCAGGAGATAGACAAAAAGAGAGAAAGAGACAAAGAGAGAGAGAGAGAGAGATCACTAGAGAACGATATAACGAGAAAATATTAGCATGAGGGGATCACAGCGAAAAGAAAAATGACAAAACAGAGTCAACGTTTAAGGGTGAAAGAGCGTTTCACTCGATAAAAACCGTATGAGAACGACGAGGGGCTCCACAATCCCCCGGCCGACCGGCTACCATTTGGCTTCTAAGACCACCTGCCCCGTCCGAGGGACGCCAAGATGGCCCTAAGACAACTTGCAACGGGAAGTATCGACCCTCGTCGAATCCATACCACGAACACCCATCGATTGCACAATATGCGTGCGAACTTCCCCTGGGGCACCGCAATGACCCTTGTTCTGCGGGCTCAATGACATATCACGACGTCGTTTACCCCACTGTAAACTTAAATTGCCTTCCGAAGAGCCTGGCTGGCCTAGGCGAGGCATCACCCGAACCACTGAGCCAAAGAAAAAAATAACGACCCAAAGTAGATTCACATGCGCTACCCTGGAAAAAGAGTGCAACTCTCGCGCGCGATGAGGCTTACTGTGCCCTTCAATTTCAGTGTTGGGGCGGGGAGCCGCGCGATCCGATGTTTCCGCGGTCGGCCGCGGCTGACTCAACATTGAGATCGGGGGTCCAGGGGGGGAAGGCGAAGACATTTAACTAACGGTTGCAATACTTTCCCAGAGGGGAATAGGAGCACCATCGGGAGCAGATGGTGTGCAAGGCCACTCGCTGGTTGGAGCAATCCGAGGGCCGACAGACGTTCTTCAATACGTTTAGCTGTCCAGCACCATCGCATCGCATTAATTTTTTGGCCTGCGCTCTTCTTCAATACATTCTTCAATGCGTTTGGTGCGCCGCATCGGCATAAAGGCAATGAGCGGTGGCAATTATGGCAGTACTCATGCTTTCTCATGAACTTTGAATGGACTTTGAATGCGCGATGCATGAAACTACTACATCAATTACCAATGATGCTTTTGCTTGCGTTTTTGTTGTGCACCTGGATGCTTGATAAATGCAAACGCTATCCCCGGATGGCGGGTCTGAATGTCGGCGCGCTGGCCTCGCAACGAAAACTGAGGAGAAAGACGAATGACATTGCAATGCCGTCTCAGGACTCATGCCGGGGTCAACTGGGTGAGCTTGTCGTAGACCTCGCGGATCTTCATGGCGATGATCGCCTGAAGGAGCCCGGTGCCGTTCTGAGAGCCGGGGCTGTCCTTGAGCTTGACCATGGCGTCCGTGAGCTCGCTGGGACTGCGGCCGTTCAGGCCCTCGAGGTTGGCCTCGATCTCGGCCACCTGCTCGGCCATGTTGTCCATGTCGATCTCTCCGTCCATCTCGACTACGCTCACTGGGCTGCCGTACCAGTCGTCGTCGTACTGCTTCAGGGTGGCGCCCGGCTTGCTCCCAGTGAGGGTCATCTCCTTCTTCAGGGAGATCGCTGGGAAAGCGCCGCCCTTCTTCTGGATGAGCTTGACCTTGAGGTAAGGCAGGCCCTGGTCGGAGGGCTCGTAGCGCAGGACGACGTCGGCGTCCTTCTTCTGCGGGTCCACGTACTCCGCGAAGTCGGGCAGCCTCTTCTCGATATCCTCCCTGACCTGGTCCTCGGTCCAGCCGCGCTCGGCCACGTCGCGCTGGATCTTCCAGGCGAACTTGACGTCGTTGACGATGTCGATGTAGAGTGCCATGTCGAGGTTGGCACGCGCCTTCTCGTCGTAGATCGGGTGGAGGCCCTCCACGACGAAGACCTTGTTCGGCTGGATCAGCTCGGGGGGGTCCTTGTTGCCGGTGTCGTGGTTGTAGATCGGCTTGTAGATGGCCTTGCCCTGCTTCAGGGCCTCGATCTGCGCTCCCATCAGCGCGAAGTCGTTCTCGCGGGCGTCCAGCGCGCTCAGAGAGGTCGCCTTGCGGCCGGCGCGGTCGTTGATGTGGTAGTCGTCCAGGCAGATGACCGTCAGCATGTCGCCGATGGCCGTGTGCCCGGGCTTGACCTCGGTGCCCAAAGCGCCCAGCACGCGCCTGAGGAAAGTGGACTTGCCGCAGCCGGAGTCGGCGGCCACGCCGATCATCACCGGCGCCTGCTCGGGCTTGCTCTCGGCCTCGAGGATGGGCACCATGTCGTCGGTCCAGGCGTGGGTGGAATACAGCGTGATGCCGTCCACCTCGCGGGTCTTGGCCGCCTCCTCGGGGGAGGGGTACACGAGGCCGGTCGGCACGCTGTTGGCGGCGCCCTGCAGCGCCACGAGCGCCTTGCCGGCCTGAGGCCGCAGGCTGGGCGCGCGCGGGGCCACGAAGACCCGGCCCGCGTACAGGCACGCCGCCACGAGTCCCAGAGGGAGGAGCACGGACTGGGATCTGGAAGGCATGTTCGGCCCTCCTGTCCGCGCGCTCCGAAAACGGCCCCGCGCCGCGCAGCTCGGGCAACGAGAGAACTAGCTGGAGCCGAAACGGCTCTGGACGGTGACGCCCGAGATATCCACGTAACCGGCTCCAGAAGGGCTCCAATACGCCCAAGAGGCTTCAGCAATGACCCAAGAGGCCCTAATCTACTCCAAGGGTGCCGAAAGAGGTCCCAAGCGGGAGTCCGCGCCCAGGCGCTTTCGAGAGGGTCTGGGAACCCTCCAGAAGACCCGCCAGGCCCACATGCCCCCATGATTGGCCCCGGAGGCTCTCGGCTGGCCCCGAAGTCGGCCCACGATTGACTCGAAACGGCCCCAAGGCTCCCCAAGGCGCCCCCCAGATCATCCCGAATGACCCCAGGGCTCCCCGAGAGGACGCCGAGATGGCCCCAAGCGGTCCCAAGAGAGCCCCAGAAGCCCCCCCCCTTAAACAGCCGAAGTACAAACTCCGAGAGGGCCACAGCGAGACAGGCCCAAACGTTCGGTCACACACGTGTCCAGGCCCCCTCCCCCCACCCCCAAAGCAATCACTGATTCGGAGATTTGCGTGCCCGATCTGTATGCTAAAGCAGTTGCCCACCCCTGCCTTTGGCAATACCGAACTGGAATACACTCGTGTTTCTTCGAAACTCATGCTCTCGATGCCCCCCCCTCACCTTCATCGCTCTTACCACGGCGGCCCTCTTCCTCCTCCTCCTCCTCCTCCTCCTCCTCATTCGCCTCCACATCATCCCCCTGCTTCTTGGAGTCCTCAAGCAGGACCCAGTACACCCCAACATCTCAGAAACAAGTGCCCCAGAACGGTCCCGACGACTGGGACCTCCCAAACCACTCCCCCCCTCCCCCTTGCTTCCCTGCCCCTCCTGGGCATCACATTAATCTCCGCCGTCCTCCTGCGCTCTGTCGTGCTCCGGCAACCCGTACAGCCCATACTACACTCTCCATGTCCACCTTTCGGGGGCCCCCGGAACAGCGTTAGCCTCGTGAGTGTCCAAATCACAAGTTATGTCAACGACTTCGGCGGCAGCGAACAGCGGCAGCCACAGCAATGATGCTTTCCCTTGCGCTTTTGTTGTGCACCTGGATGCTTGATAAATGCAAGCGCTATCCCCGGATGGCGGGCCTGGATGTCGGCGCGCTGGCCTCGCAACGAAAACTGAGAAAGACGAATGTCTCAGGACTCATGCCGGGGTCAACTGGGTGAGCTTGTCGTAGACCTCGCGGATCTTCATGGCGATGATCGCCTGAAGGAGCCCGGTGCCGTTCTGAGAGCCGGGGCTGTCCTTGAGCTTGACCATGGCGTCCGTGAGCTCGCTGGGACTGCGGCCGTTCAGGCCCTCGAGGTTGGCCTCGATCTCGGCCACCTGCTCGGCCATGTTGTCCATGTCGATCTCTCCGTCCATCTCGACTACGCTCACTGGGCTGCCGTACCAGTCGTCGTCGTACTGCTTCAGGGTGGCGCCCGGCTTGCTCCCAGTGAGGGTCATCTCCTTCTTCAGGGAGATCGCTGGGAAAGCGCCGCCCTTCTTCTGGATGAGCTTGACCTTGAGGTAAGGCAGGCCCTGGTCGGAGGGCTCGTAGCGCAGGACGACGTCGGCGTCCTTCTTCTGCGGGTCCACGTACTCCGCGAAGTCGGGCAGCCTCTTCTCGATATCCTCCCTGACCTGGTCCTCGGTCCAGCCGCGCTCGGCCACGTCGCGCTGGATCTTCCAGGCGAACTTGACGTCGTTGACGATGTCGATGTAGAGTGCCATGTCGAGGTTGGCACGCGCCTTCTCGTCGTAGATCGGGTGGAGGCCCTCCACGACGAAGACCTTGTTCGGCTGGATCAGCTCGGGGGGGTCCTTGTTGCCGGTGTCGTGGTTGTAGATCGGCTTGTAGATGGCCTTGCCCTGCTTCAGGGCCTCGATCTGCGCTCCCATCAGCGCGAAGTCGTTCTCGCGGGCGTCCAGCGCGCTCAGAGAGGTCGCCTTGCGGCCGGCGCGGTCGTTGATGTGGTAGTCGTCCAGGCAGATGACCGTCAGCATGTCGCCGATGGCCGTGTGCCCGGGCTTGACCTCGGTGCCCAAAGCGCCCAGCACGCGCCTGAGGAAAGTGGACTTGCCGCAGCCGGAGTCGGCGGCCACGCCGATCATCACCGGCGCCTGCTCGGGCTTGCTCTCGGCCTCGAGGATGGGCACCATGTCGTCGGTCCAGGCGTGGGTGGAATACAGCGTGATGCCGTCCACCTCGCGGGTCTTGGCCGCCTCCTCGGGGGAGGGGTACACGAGGCCGGTCGGCACGCTGTTGGCGGCGCCCTGCAGCGCCACGAGCGCCTTGCCGGCCTGAGGCCGCAGGCTGGGCGCGCGCGGGGCCACGAAGACCCGGCCCGCGTACAGGCACGCCGCCACGAGTCCCAGAGGGAGGAGCACGGACTGGGATCTGGAAGGCATGTTCGGCCCTCCTGTCCGCGCGCTCCGAAAACGGCCCCGCGCCGCGCAGCTCGGGCAACGAGAGAACTAGCTGGAGCCGAAACGGCTCTGGACGGTGACGCCCGAGATATCCACGTAACCGGCTCCAGAAGGGCTCCAATACGCCCAAGAGGCTTCAGCAATGACCCAAGAGGCCCTAATCTACTCCAAGGGTGCCGAAAGAGGTCCCAAGCGGGAGTCCGCGCCCAGGCGCTTTCGAGAGGGTCTGGGAACCCTCCAGAAGACCCGCCAGGCCCACATGCCCCCATGATTGGCCCCGGAGGCTCTCGGCTGGCCCCGAAGTCGGCCCACGATTGACTCGAAACGGCCCCAAGGCTCCCCAAGGCGCCCCCCAGATCATCCCGAATGACCCCAGGGCTCCCCGAGAGGACGCCGAGATGGCCCCAAGCGGTCCCAAGAGAGCCCCAGAAGCCCCCCCCCTTAAACACCCGAAGTACAAACTCCGAGAGGGCCACAGCGAGACAGGCCCAAACGTTCGGTCACACACGTGTCCAGGCCCCCTCCCCCCACCACCAAAGCAATCACTGATTCGGAGATTTGCGTGCCCGATCTGTATGCTAAACCAGTTGCCCACCGCTGCCTTTGGCAATACCGAACTGGAATACACTCGTGTTTCGTCGAAACTCATGCTCTCGCTGCCCCCCCCCCTCACCTTCATCGCTCCTACCACGGCGGCCCTCCTCCTCCTCCTCCTCCTCCTCCTCCTCTTCCTCATCTCCTCGTCGTCCTCCTTCGCCTCCACATCTTTCCCCTGCTTCTTGGAGTCCTCAAGCAGGACCCAATACACCCCAACATCTCAGAAACAAGTGCCCCAGAACGGTCCCGACGACTGGGAAATTGTCAAGGACCTCCCAGACCACTCCCTCCCCCCCTTGCCCCCCTGGCCCTCCTGGGTAGGTATCACATCAATCTCCACCGTCCTCCTGCGCTCTGCCGTGCTCCGGCGACCCGTACAGCCCAGACTACACTCTCCATGTCCACCTTTCGGGGCCCCCCGGAACAGCGTTAGCCTCGTGAGTGTCCAACTTACCACAACGTCGACACCACATATGAAGGCGCGAGGCACAGCTAGCCCGCTGAGCCGGCAGAGGCTTCCCGCCCCTCCAGAGGGGCACCATCGTCGTGAGGGTCGCCAGTTTCTGAGGGCCAGGGCGCCCGAGGCAGCATCCCCGTGAGGGTCGCCCATTTCTGAAAGCCAGGGTGCCCGAGGCACAAATGGCCCACAGAGCTGGTAGAGGGCTTCAGCCCTCCAGAGGGGCACCATCCACGTGAGGGTCGCCACTTTCCGAAAGGCCAGGGCGCCCGACCCAAAACTCGCTTACAAAGCTGGCAGAGGGCTTCAGCCCCTCCAGAAAAGGCAACGTCCTCGTGAGAATCGCCACTTTCCGTGGGCCTGGGCGACCGACCTAAAACTGACCTACAGAGCCTGCAGAGGGCTTCAGCCCTTCCAAAGGGGGCACCATCTGTGTGAGGTCGCAACTTTTCGAGGGGCCAGGGCGCCCGAATCACATCTGGCCTACCAGCGGAGGGCTTCAGCCCCGCCAGAGGGGCACCATCCACGTGATGGTCGCAACTTTTCGAGGGGCCAGGGTGCCCGAGGCACAAATTGCCCACAGAGCCGGAAGAGGGCTTCAGCCCTTCCAGAGGGGCACCATCCACATGAGGGTCGTCACTTTTCGAAGGGGCCAAGGCGCTCGAACCACAACTGGCCCACAGAGCCGGCAGAGGGCTTCAGCCCCTCCAGAGGGGCACAATCCTTGCGAGGGTCGCCACTTTCCAACGGGCCAAAACGCCCGAACCACAACTGGCCCAAAAAGCCAGCAGGGGCTTCAGCCCCTCCAGAAGGGCACAATCTTCGTGATGGTCGCCACTTTCCAAAGCGCCAAACCGCCCGAACCACAACTGGCCCACAGAGCCGGCAGGGGGCTTCAGCGCCTCCAGAGGGACACAATCCTTGCGAGGGTCACCACTTTTGGAGGGGCCAAGGCGCCCGAACCACAACTGGCCCACAGAGCCGGAAGAGGGCTTCAGCGCATCCAAGGGGCATCATCCTCGTGAGGGTCGCCACTTTTCGAAGGGCCAAGGCGCCCGAACCACAACTGGCCCACAGAGCCGGCAGAGGGCTTCAGCCCCTCATCCTCGTGAGGGTCGCCACTTTCAGATGGAGCCGGGGCGCCCGAACCACAATCGGCCCACGACAATCACCACCACCACAACAGCAGCAGCAGCAGCAGCAGTAACAGCAGCAGCACTAACAACAATAACAACACCAACGACAACATCAACAACAACAACAATAACAACAACAACAACAGCAACAGCAACAGCAACACCAGCAACAACACCACTACCAACAGCAGCAACAACAATATGGACAACAACACGAACAACAGCACCAACAACAACGCAAACAACCAAACCATCAACAACAACGACAACAACAACGGCACCAACCACAACAGCAACGACAACATGAACACCAGCAACAACAACAACAATAGCAACATCCTCAACATCAATAGCAACAGCGACGGCAACAGAAACGACGCCAACAAGAGCATCAACATCAACACCAACATCATCAACAACACTGGCAACCGCAACACCACCACCAACAACAGCAGCAACAACAGCAACAATAACAACAACAACAACAACAACAACAACAACAACAACAAAATTAAGGCCGGCATGGCCCCCCGGGGTGCGGGAGCGGATCCGCCGATTTCACCACAGTGGAGGAGGCCGGCATTGCCCCCCCGGTCAGTCCGAAGGGGGGGGGGGCGAACAACACAACACAACATCCTAGGGAATCCTTAGGGAATCCTTTAGAAGCCCTCGGGAATCCTCTGGGAATCCTTAAGAATACTGAGGGGATCTTTAAGAATCCGTCGGGAATCCTTTGGGTACCCATAAGAATCCTTAGCGAATCCCAAGGGGAATTTCAAAGGAATCCTGAAGGAATCCGTAGGGAATCCCTAAGGAATCCTTCGGGAATCTTCAAGGAATCCCTAAAGAAGCCCTCATGGATCGGTAGGGAATCATTAAGAATCCCTCGGGGATCCTCAGAGAATCATTAGGGGATCCTCAAGAATCCCTAGGGGATCCTAAAAGGATCCTTACGGAATCCTTAAGAATCCTTCAGGAATCGTTCAGAATCCCCAAGGAACCCTTAAGAATCCTCAGGGAATCCCTACTGAATCCTGAAGAATCCCGAGGGAGTCCTCAGGGAAGCCTTAAGAATCCATAAGGAATCCTTAAGAACCCCTAGGGAATCCTTAAGACCCTCTGGGGAATCCTTACGGACTCCTTTAGCATCGCTAAAGAATCTGAAAAACCCTTAAGGAATCCGCAAGAATCCTTGAGGAATCCTTGATAATCCCTAGGGGATCCTGAAGAATCCCTCAGGAATCCTTCAGAATTCCTAAGGAATCCCTAAGGAATTCTGACGAATCCCTAAGGAATCCATAAGAATCCCTAGGGAATCCCTAAGGGATCCTTAAGAATCCCGAGGGAATCCTTAAGAATCCCAAAGGAATCCTTAAGGTTCCCTAGGGAATCCCTGGGGAATCCTTAAGAATCCTTCAGGAATCCTTTGGGAATCCTCAAGGAATCCTTGCGGAATCCTCAGGAAATCCTTAAGAATCCGTAAGGAATCCTCCGAATCCTTTGCGAATCCCTGGGACATCCTTCAGAATCCCTAAGGAATCCTTTGGGAATCCTGAAGAAACCCTAGGGACTCCTTAGGGGATCCTTAAGAATCCTGAAGAACCCATAGGAATCCGAGGGAATCCTTAAGAATCCTTAAGGGATACTTAGGGAATCCTTAAGAATCCTGATGTCCTTAAGAATCCATCGGGAATCCTAACAAAAAACATGATCGACCCACGAACCCGGAAAGGAATGTAGAACTGTAACACATGGCAGCGTTTTCAAAGACACCTGATTGGGCGACGGGCAAATGCAATGCTGAATGTATCGATGATGATGTACTGTGCCGAGGGCTGTGCCGTGCTACGCCGTGCTGAATTGCGATGTGCCATGGCGCGACTGTGCTCTATAGCCTCGTGGATCGAGTCCTCCTTTGCATCCGAGTCCTGACCGAACTGATCTGGATCTTAAGCTCGAGCTGCCTGAACACATAGTAGCTGCCCCAGAGCTAATGGACAGGGGAACATGCCAGGAGGACGCGCCGCGAAACGTCCCAAGGGATGCGCCAGGCGACGTGCCAGGGGACGTGCCATGGGGTCGCACCGCGGGACGTGCCAAGGGGACGCGCTACGGAACGTGCCAATGGATGTGCCACGGGATGTGCCAGGGGACGCGCGACGCGACGTGCCAGGGGGACTCGCCAAAGGACGCCCCACGGAACGTGCCAAGGAACGTGCCAAGTTGCAATGCTGAGTGCATCGACCTTGATGTACCGTGCCGAAATCAGTGCTGTGCTGCGCCGTGCTGAATTGCGATGTGCCATGGCGCGATTGTGCTCTATAGCCTCGTGGATCGAGTCCTCCTTTGCATCCGAGTCCTGACCGAACTGATCTGGATCTTAAGCTCGAGCTGCCTGAACACATAGTAGCTGCCCCAGAGCTAATGGACAGGGGAACATGCCAGGAGGACGCGACGCAGAACGTCTCAAGGGACGCGCCAAGCGACGTGCCAAGGGACGTGCCATGGGGACGCATCGCGGGACCTGCCAAGGGGACGCGCTACGGAACGTGCTGGGGACAAGCGTTTCGCTCGAGACATCCTGTCAAAATCATCTGAATTCCTACGCGCGGGACGCTGCACGCGCGAGACATCCTCGGAATTCCTGCGAGCGGGACGTGAAAACAAGCATTTCGCCTGAGACATCCTTTGAATTCTGGCCCCCCACGAGGCCACCGCTCGAGACATCCTCCAATTTTGCAAAACCAGCGTTTCGCTCGAGACATCCTCAACAAATTATGAAAAACAAGCGTTTCGCTCGAGACATCCTGTCAAAATCCAAAGAAATCCAAATACCCGCGCGCGGGACGCGGCACGCGCGAGACATCCTTGGAATTCCTGCGCG